AGCTCTTTGACGGCACAAGCATTTTATCAGCATTAATTGAAGACAAATATGCAGAGTCTCTTCTTCAAATGCCGGCCGAACAAATCATCAATATGCAAAAGATACATGAGCATATCAACATCCAACAAATCAATAATAACTTACAAGATACCCACTTCTATGTCCAGTTACGAAATACTATTCGACCATCAGATATACTTCAGCCCGCACGATACAGTGTTGTTGCTTATCTAGCAATCCCTCCTACCTCAAACACTACTCATCTAACTCCTGATAACACTAATCCTCAGATTGCAACTGCGACCAACTTGGCCAGCCCAAGCACATCCCAAAAACCTACACATCAGCCACCAATCGATACCATCAACGATGAACAAATTGCCTCAACTAAGCAAGAAGCAATACGAAAATACCCCTCTGAGGCAGCTGAGGAAGCCAGCAACAAACGTGCAAAGCCATAAAGACCTCAGCACCTTTTAAATATCTCACCCAACACCACTTCTATCATTTTTGCTCAGCCTTGCCATTTGACCCATCACACCTTCTATCATTTTTGCTCAACCCTACTATCGACACTGTATATATAACCAGTCACAGCAGCATTGCATATGACTAATGTATGACCTGCTTCGACGTCTTTTGTATCTAAGACATAGTATGTACATATAAAAGCACTTAGTTTAGCAGAACCACTTTTGAAAATATCTTACTCTTGTAAATAAAATATATATAAGATATAACTACTTATTCTGTTCCTACTCAAATTCGCACATACACTGCCTAGATTTTGATTCCTTATTCTGTACTTTGATTTCTTATTCTTATACGCAGTCATACCACACCAGCATAATTCAGTTATAGCCACATAAACGTTAAGCAAACTACCACAAGAAAATGTCTAAAATTTCCTTATAAAAACAATCAAATAGTTCGCTGAAAACTATTTCTTAGAAAAGCAAACTTATCTTCAACAATACCAAAACTACAACTATACACAAAGCACTCTTAGATACTACAAATTATAATACTAACACCAAAACCCTGGCTATGTCAAAACTACTCTTCAATACTAGCAATTATAACACCAACACGAATGAAATAACCATAATAACATGACACACCAAAACTACGGATCAGCCTAAACCACAGGCAATGCCAAAGATACTTGATTTTCGTTGCTCAAAAGCCAGCATCGCCAACAAATGTATCATACCAATGCCTTAGCTGATGAGCCACAAACAAATTAGGATTATACATAATAATTGTAATTGCCTGAGTTCCGATAGAAAGACCTGCAAAGGAAAAAAAAAACCTACATTAACAAAATTTTAAACATAACCATAAATAAATAGTACAAAGCTAAAATCAAACCCATATACCATGAAGACGACTGATACGCGGACGACAAATCATAACAATTGGTTGCTCGCCAACGAGTTCAACTAAATGCATACCATCACTGTCAAAATAATCATCCCATACTGAAAACACTATTGGTATCCTCCTGCCAAAATTATATACACACTAAAATTAGACAAACGCATTTTTAAAAAATATAACTGTAACTATATTAATTGACCATACAAAAACTAATAACATACTCTTCATTCAAAATAATAAACTCTTGCAAACAAACATGTCTATCTCCAATGGCATAAAATGTTGCCGGACCAGCATAAACAACTACTCCAAGCAAAGCTATAACATCAAAATGACAAATTAGTGTATATTCGCATTAATAACACTTAAACTTACTAATACACCAAAACCAAAAAACCAAAAAAAGAACTTATACTTATTCTTGCATCTGGATTAGCTGTTAAAGAATCCAAATCGCAAAAACGAGTTAACTCATAGAAATTTTCAACCGATAGCACATGCTCAGGTGAAACGCGATTAATCACAGTATTATGTGATATAACAATCTCGTATGGAACCATCCCAATCTGCATTCGTTGACTACGCAAACGCTGTATAGTAGCATTTTGAATATAATATGTTCCATGCAACTCCAATGCACAGTCCATAGCATCCAGATCAGATAAATATGTCACTCCTTGAATTGTATCGCCCTGAAAAAGAAAAAAACAACTATTATCTATATCAACAAAACAAAAATGCAATAAAACTTACAAAACAAATCTAACAAACACTTACAGAAGCATCGGCAAAAACAACTCGGAAAAACATTCGGCTGCAATTCCGTACTCGCTGAAATCTACTCTTTTCTACAACAACTAATTTAGCAATCCATCCTCGAACTCGATCATTCAATGCAAGAACACTAACACACTGCGACTCCATTCAACTAAAAAAAGCGCACTTTGCAAATATAAATTGCTACCTAACAAACTAAAAATATATCACACATATACACTCTCAAAAAACAATGATCCATATATATAGTAGCAAGAAATTGGCCACGTACAAAGAAAAGCAACGCTACTTGGCAAACCTTTCCTGACACAATTAACGCATGAAAAACAGGTAGCAATCCTACTCATGTAAACTACAAACCAAACACTACAAAAGCATGTAAACAACACCTGGCTAATGCCAGTACCAACCACCGCCACAGCCAAACTTTCCTTTACCTGCTTTTCTTACCGACTGAACAATTCTTGGCTGCCTACTTCATATCATAGTTTTGCTAGAAATTCACTTCTGTTCACCTGGAGATCTTGAATGGAAACACTTTAGAGCAGTGGCGAAGCTAGGAATTAACTTTGGAGGAGGCGAGTCTATAGCAATGAAAGTAAAATATATTTACAAAAAAAATAACGTGAACATATATATCACAAGATTAGAAACTTGGGGGGGCAAAGTGAATTTTTTGATCAATTTTTAGGGGGGCAAAACATAATAATAAAAATTGTTTTACTTAGAAATTTTTTTTTAACAACTGGAGGGGGGGCGGTTGCCCCCCCTGGCCCCCCCTTCCCTCCGCCCCTGCTTTAGAGGTCACCAATTTCCTTTCATTTTGGCAGTTCTTGTTTGAAAATATTCTATCGCATCTACCATTTTAGCAAATGATACGTTACCTATTTCTTCTATAAAGTTATCTTTTTATCCTATACTCCTATGCCTTACAATAGAAAATTACAAAATTTGAAAAAAATTGGCACCCGTATTGAAAACCTTGCAATGCCACTTCTGAGGTGCTTCCATCATTTTAGCACTCTTTTTACTTGTATTAAAACTTTTGATTCATAATGAAGATTATCACTAAATCTATTCATCAATATTTCCATTCCCCATGCACATACACAAACAATATATCTAACAAATCCTATTGTAGTAAATTAATTACTCTACAAAGCACCACCACAACCTAACTTTCCTTGCTTTTCTTACCGACTAAACAACTCTTTCGTACCTACCCAACGTAATAGTTTTGCTGAAAATTCACTGCTGACTGCGAGGCTCTCTTCCATGGGAACACTTAGGCACTCACCAATTTCTTCTCGTTTTGGCCACTACATCTAACAAATCCTATTGTAGTACATTAATTACTCCTCTCACACTCCAATTTTCCAGACTAATACCCATTATACGAAATTAAGAAATTCCAGCTACCTGACGCACAGCGTCAGGGCAAAAAAACTAGTATTATGTATAAAATGTCCAATCAAGTAAGATTTCCCCAATTAACTCGTACGGTAAGATGGCATAGTTACTTGAAGCATGCATTTAGCATAGAAGACTACTCGACATTAAGGCTTACACGTTGACCAAATTAATCTGTGGACAATAAGTACCTAAATGGTAAGAAGGAGAGGGGGGAGGGTTTGAGGTGGAGGATGTCGGCAATTGTTCTTTATGAGTTGTGACAAAATAAGCATCAAAACTGTTTTTCCAAGGGTATCAACCTATTGGAACAAACGGCCAAAGGGCCTCAAGCTTTAGGCGGGAGTTGAGAACTCATAATGTGGTCTTCAAAGGGAGACTCAGCTTTATATCACCAAGTAATTTGGCTTTAAGTTGATATTTGTTGGATCAAGAATGATAAAAATGATGATATTGTTCACATTGCAGTTCTTTGAGAAAATTTTTTATATTTTTTATGAATATATTTTTTGATCACTTTTTACTTTATATATATCAAATTATTATAATATTTTTTTTATAAAAACTCCAAAAATAATAATTTAAACGAATCTATCAAATGAACAATCAAAACTAAACTATCAAATGACTTAAAACATGTGCTAGATAGAAAAAGCACGTGCCGCTTTCGTGTCCATGCAGGAAGTGGTGGCATGAAGTTCAGATTTTGTCGGATGGCGCCAGGGGGGCAGAGGGGGGCCATGGCCCCCTAAGTTTTGAGAATTTTAATTCATAATACGTAATATGTGTGTAAAATAAAATTGGCCCCCCCTAAATTTTTTTAATTTTAATTTATATTATGAGAGTTGATATATATATATATATATATATATATATATATATAGTCATCTTTGAATGGAATGGCTTGCAAGCTTTAATTTGCCATGAATGTCCATATGCCTATTACATTCATTGTTTGGCTCATAGGCTTCAACTTGCTTTAGTAGCAGTTTCTAGAGAAGTAGCTTGTTCACCAATTCTTCTCCAATTTAGTTTTCATTATCAACATTATTACTGCATCTAACAAACATAATGATGAATTAAAGGAGGCTCAAGCAATTGAAGTTGTTACTAAGATTGCTAATGGTGAACTTGAAACTGGAAGGGAGCTTAATCAAATTGGTACTTTAAAACGAGCTGGAGATACTCGTTGGGGTTCTCATTTAGATTCTATTTCTAGTTTACTGAAAATGTTCAATGCTACTTGTGTGGTTTTAAGTAACATTGCAGTAGATGGAGGTTCATACTCTTAACGTGGAGATGCAAATTTTGCTTTGAATCAGTTGTTATCCTTTCAGTTTGTTTTCACTTTGCATCTTATGAAAGACATTATGGAAATTACTCATCTTCTTTGTATAGCATTACAACATAGATCTCAAAATATTTTGAATGCAATGCATCTTGTCTCAAGCACAACAAAGCTACTGAAGAATTTTCGAGATTTGGGATGGGATGATTTCTTGGTGAAAGTTAAATTATTTTGTGAGCAACATCAAATTGATATCCCATGTATGAATGCTCAATATATTGCAAGACGTGGTAGATCTCGAAGTCATTATGATGAGATTAGTGTGGAGCATTATTATCGAGTGGATATATTTCTTGCAACAATTGATTATCAATTGCAAGAGTTACATAGCAGGTTTAATGATTATACCGTGGAATTGCTTATTTTGAGCACTGCTTTAGATCCTAGAAATGGATTTATGCTGTTCAAGATTGATGATATTTGTAAACTTGCAGAGAAGTTCTATCCGAATGATTTTATGGAGCAAGAACTAGTACGTCTAAGAATAGAACTTCAACATTTTGAACTCGACATTCCAAATCATCCTGAATTGCAAGAATGATCTGGTATTAATGAGTTATGTCAAGGCTTGGTGAATACAAGAAAATCAGTGATATATCCTGTTATTGATAGATTGATTAGACTTGTTCTTACTCTTCCTGTATCAACTGCAACTTCAGAGTGGGCATTTTCAATTATGAAAATAATCAAGACAAAGTTCCAAAATAAGATGGAAGATAATTTCTTGAATGATTGTCTAACTGTGTATATAGAAAAGGAAGTTGCTGAAAAATTTAGTAGTGATTCAAACATAGATGAATTTAGTTCTATGAAAGAGCGTAGAGCTCAATTTACTTCTAAGAAAAGATGTTGAAATTTCAAAGTATGCTAACATAACTTTTATCTTTTTTTAATTGAAAATAGTTACATTTATATTACAAGGTTCTATATATATATATATATATTGCATAGGTGACATATTGGAGAGCATCTTCTCATAATGTGCAAATTGGATGGTTTGTGATATTATAAGATATTTAATCAAAAGTTATCTTTTTTGTTAATTTTTGTTATGACTGTACCATATATTTATGAATAGACATACCTTTATAATTAAATTTAATATTTGATATTTTTAGATGTCATATATTTAAATAGAAGGAAATTATTTTGAACATAATATATTAAGATAATTTTATTAGGAAAAAATTTTGGCCCCCCCAAAAAAAAAATCCTAGCTCCGTCACTGCGCTAATAGCTTTCAGGCCACAAATATTTAGGTACAAAAAATTGACTTGTATATCTTAAATGATTAAAATAGACACATACGACCGAGACATATATCTACATGACATCAAACGGAAAAAACTGTTGTACTGAGAAACTGACTGTCTATCCCTAAGCGAAATTAAGCAAACACTAAATGGAGTTGATTGACTTGTTCATCTTGTCTGAAAGAAGTTCAGCTCGAGTCTCGTTGTCAATAATCTCTCATTGATAGATGTTCTTTTTTTTTAATTCTTTTTTTTTAAGTGTAAGCAGAAGGACTCGAATCCGAGATCTCTTGCTTACACTCCCTCCCCCAATACCATCCAACCCATCCCTCCCCTCTCATTGATAGATGTTCTGTAAAAATCACTGTAAGTTACTGAATATACGTCGGCAGCATTTTCTAATTTTAGAATTGAATTGAATGACAAAATAAGAAAAATTATAAATAAAAAGTTATGAATTCAAAACCTTTCACTTAAAAAAAACTTTAAAATAGTATAACCTTCTCTTGGTCTAAACTTTTTTCGGTAAAAGCAAAAAATATATATAAAATAAATTAAGCAAACAATGCAGTCTACAAATAACAAAACTCTCTGTGCCTCCACTTCCTGTACGTATGGTACATGCATGTTGGTATACGTGTTTTCTTATTTGACACATAATGCATCTCGTGAATTCTGACACTGCATTCGACAGATAGCCAATGTACCTGAACAAAGTGTTAAGGATAGCTGTAGGCTAACAATTAGGCTACGTCGTTGTTACATCAATAGTGCATGTATAACACTGTAAGACGACATTTGAATCAAGGGTTGGACCAAAACGAAGTGGTGGTGACCCACGGTTTTCAACTTTTCGCAGAGGAAGAAGAAATCACAGGCTAAACACAGAAACGGGGGCAATAACTCTTGAAGAAAATCCCCAGTCAGTCTCTCTGATCTGATGCCTCCTTCAGTCTCAGAGCTGCAACATTTGACTCATTGCTCAGGCGATTTTGGGAGAGTAGGGACTGAGAAGTGAAGATGATTTTTAGAGATTTTAATAGGATTAGGCTCCTCTCCGTTAATTGGAGAGGATTTTCTCTCAATTACACCCGAATAAATATAATGTGTTTGGATAGGAGATTATTTGAAATAATTATTATAACATTTTTTGTGATGTGATGTATGTGAGATAAAAAAAATAATTGAAAAGATAAAAAAGTGTGTTGGAAATTGTATTTCTGATGTAAGCAAATAATTTCTAGTCATTATTTGGCTATCCAAACACAATTATAACATTATTTTGAAAATCAAAATTTTCCGTATTGTATATTTCTAGTTGTTTAAAGTATATACAAAAATTGAAATTGAATTGATTACATTTTACATTGGATCAAATTTTACAATTTTAGTCACAATTTTGACTCTTTTTATACCGTCAAAATGTTTTGTATAAATTACATGACAAAATATTCATTTTTAAGTATACTGATCTTCTTGTGGAAATAAAATTATTGATACAAACAGATTGTTGTAAAAATAGTTAATTGTGAAAATATTAAAAAATAGATAGATAAATGGAGAGAAAGGTAATAAATAGAGTGGATCTCACCCCCTATTTAATATGGTGGAGGAGTTAGATATAATTTCTAGCGGGAGCAAAAACCAAATTACAGTTCCCTTCAATTAGGACGTAATAAAAATATTCACATACCATAAAATGATAGTCAAATTCTCAATCTTTCTGTCTCTCTCTGTTTTTTTTTTTTTTTGGTCAAACTTGAATGCACCATTAAAACAATGAATTTCCTCAAAGATTATCATGTTTGGCATTTTATAACATTCATATTTACAGCTCAATGAAAAGGCGAGAGATGATTGAGGTGATCAAAGGAGGAGAAAGAAGATTGGGTGAGAGATCGAGAAGAGAGCTACTGTTTTTGTGCAGCAGAAGAAGATCTAGATAACAGTTAAGTAGATAATTGCTTTATAAGTAAATTAACCAAAAAAAAAGTACCTCTTGTTTTACTGAAAACTGTCTGTACAAATCGTTTAATTATTGAGCAATAAACTATAACAAGTTCCAATGGAACTATGTGATTTTGGAAAATTTTTGGATTTTTTATCCAATTATATGAAGTTACAAAAACAGCTATAGTGGGGGCAAAATAAAATGTTTTCAAAATTATAGCGGTAATAGTCAAATTTTCACTGCCTCGCACTAAATGTTCCCACTAATTTGATGCTTGAGAGTAGAAAATTCGCAGTTAGACAATCAATTGGGTACATTCTCTTTGTGTCCTTAAATTGTAGACTTGCTTCTACTTTAGTCTTTAAACTTCAATTTCAAACACTTTACTTCCTAAAATATGAAATTCTATCCCATTTTAATCCTTAAACTTCAATTTTGACCACTTTAACCTCTAAAGTATTAAACTCGTCCCACTTTAGTTCTCAAATATTGAGCATCACTTGCCTAACAATTTAAATTTTAAACATCTCTTACCTACTATTCCGTTAGTTGTGATACTCTGGTGAGAAGGATTTCATTTTTTAGGCTGTAAAGTGTTTGAACTTGAAATTTAAAGGACTAAAATGGGATGAATTCATACTGTAAAGGGCAAAGTATCTAAAATTGAATTTTAACGACCCAAGTAGGAGGGCATCTATAATATAAGGGTCCAAAATAAAATTTATCCAATTCAATTCTACCCTAATTTCATGTCAGAATGACTAACATTACCTCATAGGCTTAGTTTTAATATATCTCCTCAACTAAAATCAACTTTGTGAGTTTCAGTCCCAAGACACTAATTTTAGCACAGTTTTTTCTTACAGTTACTGAATAAACACCTGTCCTTGAACCACATGATGTTTGAAATATAAATGAGCAAACTAAAGGGGTTGAAATGGAAACAAGGCTCAGGTTTGAGATTTGAGAATGACCCATTTTTAAAAGATCTAATGAAAAATATATCTAGAAATGTTCCTAAATGTTGCTTGAAAATTATCAACTAAAAGTGAAGTAATAATTAAAAAAAAAAAATCAAGGCCAATAAGGCCTTAGACTAATAATTAAAGTTGAGACTCTAAAACTTTAAGGTCTTGGGTACTGGCCCTCCCTCTTTCTCCCCCCGACTTCTTAAATCCCCCCCCCCCCCCCCCCCTTTTCCTTTACTTAAAAAAATATTACTCAAAGTTTGAATTCATTTTATTTACACTTTTCATGAGAAAATTACACACCAGTTGGGAGAAAATGATTATTAGTTTGGCTTACAAATTAAGAGTGAATTTATATATGAGTGTGTATACTATCACGGATAATTACATGAAATATATGTACAATTAAAATTTTTAATTCAAATTTAAATTAGTTATCATTTAGCCAAACTTAATAGTGTGTTAGTGTATAGAAGATTAATCCACATAATAAGTCAGTTATCTTGCTTAAGAACGTGCTCAATGACTTCTTTCTTTCCTTTTTTTTTTTTTTTCAATCCCCTTCTTCATTTGGTGCTTTCTCTTTTGGCACAGTGCCAACTTTGCCGACTGCCGAGTGCCGACCGACAAAAGCAGGCTGAGGTGAACAATTTGAAGTCCACGAATTTGCCCAAAGTTCAAACTTGTTAATTGGTCCCAGGCACCCAACCCCTGTGTTCCGCGGAGAGAGGTTCTGATATATGTAGTCTGGTGCTAACATAAGATATAATATTCAAATTTCGCCTCATAATTTAGACATGATTTGTATGCGTATCACTCCTTTGCTAGGATATTAGATTCATACTATAAAGTTAAAGATATTATTTGAGATCATTAAAACCTATTTAAAACATTCTATATGGTACGGAAATAGTTACATTGACAGCAAATCTTGTGTCTGTTCTACCTTTTTTTTTTTTTTTTTTCTTTTTTGAATTTTGGACGGAGTAAAGACGTGTTTGTTCCATTTACAACTTATCAAGTTTATTAATGATCGTAAAAAATGTGGTATACCATTTTACTACAATAGTTTTTGCTATTTGCAAGTCTTCTGTTACATTCAAAAGTGTAAGATTTTTGTTACACTCCTTGGTGTAGGGGTGGCAATTTTCGACACGACCTGAAAACACGACACGAACCTAACACGAAATTAATGGGCTTGGGTTGAGGTTTCGGGAATTCGGGTCAGAATCGGGTTGGACCCGATGAACCCGAAAAGAAAACAGGTCGATTTCGGGTCAACCCATAGTGACCTGATATGACCCGATATGACCCGTTTACGAATTAAAAATAATTTAATAAACATACAAATAATTTTATCTAACTAAAC